GGAGCCTCAGCGCACGGAAAGAGGCTGGGTCCACCTCTAGACCAGTGATGTCCACAGGAGGGTCCTTAGGTGAAGGCTTTATTTGACATAATATGGATGCATTTCCCACAAGGTCATCTCTGTTACTGTGCGGAGGAGGGGGCAGCAGGATCTGGGGGCAAGGGGAGTCTCCGCTGCACGTGACCAAGCATGCCTCAAACAGCAAGCCCTGCTTATCTACCATAGATACTAGAGTGTTCCCCTTATTTTTAAATAACCTGCTGCCTCTTTCACTTTCGTATCAGGGACTAATGTTAGTGAATTACACATTAAAATCCCAGCCTTTCCTTAACATGGCCTGTACCTGCTGTCATTGCAGGCCAGCTTCCTCAAAACTCAGAGCTGCTCAGCTCTAAAGCTTTGACCTGGGCCTCTTTCCGCATGATTCCCCTGTCATGTTCAGGAGAGCTGGAGAAGAAATAACTCTGATTTTAATCACCTCATTTCATGAATAATCAGACAGTTGATTTTTATAATAGTGCCATTGCATTATTTAATTTGACCATGGCCCAGCTGTAAATGTCTGCATTTCTCTTTTTTTGTATCCCTGACATCTGCCCGAGGAGAGTCTAAAACCTTCTCCTGGATTTTGCTTTTGTTGTGCTTTTCCAAAAAGGCAAATGCCTTGTGATTCCAGGACTCTGTGACAGTTCCATCTTGAAGGCAAGGAAATAAGCAGAAACCAAATTTCTGACAAAACCCAAGTCTGAGGATTTCTGTGTCACTACCCTCAGTAGAACAGAGGCTGTGTCCCTTCCCCAGCTCCACAGAGGTAATCCCACCGTGGGTTGGAAGCCACACAACAAAGATGCCATGCTTCAAGTTCTGCGGGCCTGCACACCTGCCCAGCTTGTCCGAAAGACAGGTTGGCCCAATGGAGGCCACCAACAAAAGCTTGTACTAACAGGATGGGGCTGATTAAGAAGCAAAAACCAGTCCTTCAGAAAGCCTGGTATTTCTTGTTCCTTTGAAAAAGGAGGGCTGAGTATGACTTCAGCATGAATTATTTTAATTGGTGGTTTTACAGACTTATGCATAGGCATGAAGAAAGCTTCAGCTATTGGAATAGTCTCTTATTTCTGAAGTCTCCTGACTTTAAAAACTTAGTGGGAAAGAACATATGAAATTGATATCTCCCAGGAACCACCATTCATTACCATTGTATCTGCATGAATGAGTGACAAAAAAAGTTTTACAAAAGTAGATGAAAGGCTGGCGAATCATTTCCTATCTCATATAGAAACCTGCACAACCATCAGGCAGGATTATCCGGAGGAGGGGCTGGGTTCACAGGCAGCAGCAGTTAGGAGACTTATGAGCAGGTTCGGCTGCTCTCAGATCAGAGCTGAGGTGGGCACTGCACCCTAGAACCCCTTTCCTCTCTGTATTTCATACAATGGTCTGGGCGGCTTCCAGTACTGTAAAATCCAATGGAATTATTTCAAACAGTAACTATATGCAATTGGAGGCAGATATACTCTCCTGTCACGATTTCCTTAGCCAAGTTATATAGAAGTTCTGCAAAGCACATAGCACAAAAAGGCAGAAAATGGGCGTAAGCCTGCAGTGATAAGCTGAGAGCAGGGGCTCTGAGCGCTCTTCCTCCCATTCTGACCAGAACAGGGTGGTTTAAAACTCACAATACTGTTAAGAGGTAGCACACAGGTAAAGGATTCACTCTTGCTGCACGGTTTCTGTATCATCTATTACTTTCACATATCTGATTCCAAAGAAATGGTAATTCATTTGGTAAGATGTATTTTTTTACTTCGTTCTTCCCTTTGCAGAATCTTTATAGACTTAAAATACCCTTCTTCCTATTTTCCTAAGAAGCTAAGCTGCTGATACTTTCAGGGACCATAGCAATATTAACACTTGTGGTTTGCTTTTTTTTCTGCATGGGTTTTGGGCAATCCGTCTTCACTGCATGGAGCTACCAGATGATTCCTCCTGAGTCCACTTACAATTCTCACCCTTCCAAATCTCTCCTGTCCTGTTGAGAGACATGAGGGCCCAGCAATGTGTACACACCACAGCATATCCTTTAGGCCATGAACTTCAGCTGAACTGGGGGCTCTCCAAACCCCTCTTAAGAGCTGGTCTGGGCCAACAATCCATAGATGCCCTCAAGACTAAACATGTCTGTTTGGGCTTTGCCAGTCTGCATCACCGAGAGTCACGTCTCCTCTTCAGATGTACCACTGCCTCTCCACGGAAATCAAAGGCATTGCCTCCAAACAGAGGAAACCACATCCTCCATACAGCCCGGCAATGCACAAAAATCGCAGGCAACTAGCAATGCTGTCAGCTTAGGTGCTTGGACACTCAGTTCCCTGAAAGGAAACAGCTCTTAGTGCCTGGAATTTCTGAGGGATTTTAAGCAAAAAGCAGGAAAACAGGTGACACTGAGAAACTGTGTGTGTGTCCAGATGCTGTGTTTCAAAGAGCTAAAGCCTTGCTGAGTAAGGAAGGGGTTAAAGATACATATGCGCTCTAAAGCAGTGCTCCCTACCAAGTGATGTACGGTTGTCCAGGCTTTTTCTTCACAAATCCTGCCTTCCCAAGGGAATGGAGGGTAATCCCTAGAGAGCAATAGAGGGAAAGGAGGGTAATCCCTAGAGAGCAATAGGAGAGCACCTGCCTAACTTGTCCTGGGACAGCTATTTGTGCCAAAGGAGAGGAGGAGAGAGCCCACGCTGTGCTGAGAAACACAGGCGAGTGCTCATGTTGTAAGCAAGCTCTCCGGGGCGGGAGCTCTCACTCTCCTTTCTCCTCCTCCGTTTTGGTCCACAACATGGTGCACGGTGAGCCAACCCTTGGTGTTTTTCTACAACGCATGTAGACGTATTTCTAGACACCTTCTCAAAAAGCTAAGAGAAGAGCTAACGAATGCTGTGGGGAAAACACCATGACAGGCATTTAAAGTAGCTTTTAAAATAACAGACATTTACATATTTAAATTGTTTATAAATCTATAAATTATACACTATGTTATATTGTACATCTATTGTATGACAGCTGATGCTTTTGGAAGATGCTTGGAGAGAACTGTTTGTTCTAGGAATAGCACAATGGGCCATTCCAGTTGATGCTAACACTCTACTGGCTGTATCTGGTAAGAATTGCACAATTTAATGACTTTGTTACAAAAATTACCATAAAAATACATTACTGAAAAAAGAACAACATGTAAAGAATAACAAATTCCTACTGAACAATGGAGCATACCTGTCATTTATAAATCTATATTTAAATGCAAATAATGTTGTTTTGTTGTATTCATGACTGCTTGCATTGTCATTTAAATGCAAATTACTGTGTTTGTTATCATCCAAGAGAAGATTTTATATTAACTTTCATACAATATAGTCAGTTTACATGGAACCAGATAGACAAGTGTGACAATAGAGTGGATACTGATACAGAGGATTTTGTCAGAAATCAATATAAAATAAAGCAAATGCCTTTAATATTATTTATTTCATCTGTTTCTGTTTTAGGCATGAACGGTGACAATACAGATTCTCAGAAGCTGAATAAAATTATTTCAGAAATACAGGCTTTACAGGAGGTTGTGGCTAGATTTAGACAACTTCGGCTAGATGCTACCGAATTTGCCTGTCTCAAATGCATTGTCACTTTTAAAGCTGGTAAGCGGAAAGAATCTCATGCTCGTCTGTTCTGGTAACTATGAGGTTGCTACTTTAAAGCAAAAATGATGTTTTGAACCAGACATAGCATCACATCATCCGACAGGTTTCCTGGTATTGAATTCTAGTAGTCGGTGTTGCATTCTGAAAGGCTGACAGTGGAGTGCTGGGGAACTAATGGGAGCGTTTAATTTCCATTGATAGCACTAGCTGAACCCTTTTTGTCCCACCCAAGAGTCAAGCTGAACTAGTAACTGATTTGCTTTCCAGTGCCTACACACAGTGGTTCCGAACTGAGGAGTTTCCGAAACGCTGCCGCCATAGCAGCCCTTCAAGACGAAGCCCAGCTCACTCTGAACAGCTACATCCATACCAGGTGATCAGTGCCTTCTCTCAATGCTTCTTGTGGGCATAGGGGTAAAATCATGCTCCTGCTGTAGCGAAGGTGACATTTCCACTGACTGAAATGGGGACCAGGCTGTTACAGCAAGCATACATTGGCTGTCAGCCTGCTGGGATTTGGCATTTCCTGATGAAATGTGGAACGTGGGATTCATTCAGACAAACTGGAAAGCGGTAGAAGGAGAGGTCTTCCTCCGGGAAGTGATACCTGCCGTGGAACACTCTGCATTTCAGAAGGCTACATTTTCCTCTACATTTTATTCAGTTAAATACTGCTCATAGTGATGCTCAAAAGAACAGCAGTACGAGCGCTTTTCACCCACAATCTCCAATACACTTCCCTATGACGTTTCCCCTTTTCTGAAGCACTTCTATTTAGTCTAAAGGGAACGGCCTGCCCTGGGGGTGGGAGCAAAATTGCAAATACCATCCAGTTATGGCTAGTTCAGAGCAAAAAGAGTAACCACTGCATAGCAACCTCTTCCTGTTCTACGGAAGGCCTGTCCCACAGAGATTGCTCCCTGGAGACTCTGAGTGAGCCAGGGCCTGTGGAACAGAGAAGCCAGGGAGCAATGGTTTTACATGGCCGTGGTTTCCACTCCAGGCATGGCGACTTTTCCTTTGCATTTCTGCATCGCTGGAAATATTTAGCTACTGGGCTAAACAGTACCCATTGTAAAAGATATCCTTTTACTAGGAAAAAAGCCCAGTCCCCTGGCAGGACTGTCACATTGACTCCAATGGGGTTAGGGCTTTCAGCTTGCATTTCCTCCTCAGGCTTGAATTTAACCTTCCTGCCAGCGTTAGAGCAGAGTCAGCCCTTTGATCCCAGTGGAGTCGCCCTCAGCAGGATGCAAGGGAGGGCAGACTGGAGAACCAGAATGTTTCTCCAAATGACCGAACTCCTTCTTTTAGGGAGACCACTGTAAGCAGAGGTTTGAGAATCACTGATGTAAATTCAGCTAGAATACACATCCTATGTTGTGTTGGATTCAAAAGCTGGGAGAAAGAATGGAAAATATCCCATTACACAAATACATTACCTGGGGATAAAACACAGCTTCTTTAATGAAAAAAAACACCCCAACTTTCTAAATGTCAATTGGTATTCAGTGTATAAGGCAACCAAAAGGGGGCAAAATGATTACCATGACAATCCAGCTAGGTTTAAATTGCACTTTAAATGACAGGGCATTTATTATAGGTCAAGCTCTTCCCTGAACTGCATCAAGAACATAGTTGTTGTCTGAGGGACAAGTCCGAGCAGATCCTGTCTCTGTATTGCTCCTGCTCTGAGGGAATAAACAAAGGAGCTAATCAAAACTCAGAGACATTGGCATAGGCCAATGTCTGCTAACCTCCATTAGGAGAGTTTTCCTTCGGGTCAACCTTCTTGCTCACTTGAGTACAAAGCACAGGGGTTTAGCACAGGTAGCACCTGTCTGTACAATTTTCTGAATACTGGTCTTTTCTGCAAAGTAAAAGATTTTCTTTGGAAAAATATCAAAAAACTTCAACAGGTTTTTCTGTCTGTCTCCCAGGTATCCCACGCAACCCTGTCGTTTTGGAAAACTTCTATTGCTTTTACCAGCTTTACGTTCCATTAGTCCATCTACAATAGAAGAAGTGTTTTTCAAAAAGACCATTGGGAATGTACCAATTACAAGACTGCTCTCAGATATGTACAAATCCAGTGACATATAAATGACCTTAAAATAAACAATCAGGATGGACAGTTTGAGAAGAACTTTTATCTATGGAGAATAAGCCTCAACTAACAAAATCTACAGGAAGCATAAGCCTGGGAATGTTTAGCCTTTAAACCCATTGACAAAAAATACCCCAGTAGATATGATTCTGCTGCTCTGAACAGAGTGATTTAGATCATGGAGAGAATGCTTTGTTCTACAAAAAAAGTGAAAGTGGTTGGAATTTGGCTGCTATTCCTGTTACTACAGGATGGAGGCAATTCAGATGCCAGTCATAGTTAACAAAGACTCTGCTATTCTCTCATTTAACTGGCAGATCTGAGACAAAATGTGAAAGAAGGTACTTTGGTTTGTTCCGTATTTGGAACCGGGTGACCAAACTTGGCTTCTGTTGTAACATTGAGATGTGGCGGCCTTCAGAACTGTTTTAAAAGTAGCCTATGTCGGGAAAATGTTTTTAATATGATAGGCAACATTTAAGACCAGGTTACCAAAACATTGCTTCTGCTATAATACATCATGAAGTGGCCTTCAGAACTGATTAAAAAGTAGCTTATGACGGCAGCTCCATTCTTCCTCCAAAATGAACTGGTGATCTTTGATGCGGACGTCACCACAATTTGTTCGGTTAACATCTCAAAGACAGAAGAGCTTTATACACTTCCTCCCCAACCTTCCCTCCTCCTTCGTCCACACACACAGACACACATTCACATGCACACCTGAAAAGATACAATCAAGAAAGGAAGACTGAAACAGCAAAACCAAATACAAGGGAGATGACCACTTCAGTGACCTGCTGGCTGTCCCGTTGGCACAGTGCTGAAACCAAAGGCAATGGTGGCCAAACTCTTTGTCAATGAGATGTGCAGAGAAATGAAATGACTATAAAAAACAAAACAAAACCAACAGAAGGAATTTTATTTCAAAGAAGTAAAGGTTGTTGACTGATACAATGCTAACAATTTCCAAAAGTCTCCAATGCCTTTTTAGAAAACTCCAGGTTCTAATTTTGAAGCCTTGTTCGCCTACACCCTCTCACACACAAAAACGTTATAAGCTGCTTATTTGATGTATGAAAAATGTAGAAAAAACATTTAAAGATAGCTGCTGTACTTTTCAAAATTTGATTTGTTATTAGGAACTAGCACTGAGAAAAATCAGCACTTGGACTATCATAGAATGAGTAAAACTTTTCCTGTACAAAGTGGATTAACTGATTTGTGAAGTTAAAAAGTTGTACTCATTGTATTTACAAAGAATAAAAATATATTGAATTTAAATTACTTTCCACCATTCTTTTAATGCTTGTCCTTCTATTTCTGGATTAGTTTCTTCCACTGTACCCTACTTACCAGGGAACAGAAATATTCTCCACTAAAATGGATTGCCTTGGATGCTGTGGAGTCTCTGTCATCAGAAGTTTTAAAGAACAGGTTAGACAAACATCTAAGGAATAGCTTAGGTGATCCTGCCTTGGGGCAAAGGGACTTTGAGGTCCAGCATAGAGCTGTTTTCTGTAACTCAAATATATACCTGCTGCAAGGTTTCCTTCTCTAGGAGCTGGCACAGAGCTTTTTCTAAGACACAACACTAAACAGATCAGAGGTCAAACCTTGGGTAAGTCTTCTGTTTCACTTTATTACAATTTTTAATATCAGTGAATTGTGCAGCTAACAAAGGGTGATGAGTACAAAAACACTGCTTCAATTAAAAAGATTCTGAGGTTTTATTAAGGTGTCCGATTGTGTAATCACACCAAAGAAAGAGGTAAGCAACTCCCAATGCACAGGAACAAGTTGGCAATGGGCGAAAGGAAATATAACAGATTGTTCATACGGCAATGAGTGACCGAAGAGTCATGCACACTAAAATGACAGGTGGAAATGTACAGTGTATATCAACGGCTCATTGGTTTTCAGTGTCAAAGAATACAGATCACAAGTGAAATCCTAGCTCCATTGACTCCAAGCACAAAAATCTCACGCGTTTCAGAGGTCAAAATTTTTACACACACCCCTTCCGTTTGTGCAGTTTGCTAGGTCTCACATTGTGCCCTATCCAAGACAGCCAGACCATGAAGTATACAAGACCATTCTTTTAATGAGTCGGGTGAGACAAAGCATGGACTACAGGACTTTGAAACATTTTATATACAAACTACCATGGAGCACCTGAGAACGCATTTACCACAGGGCATAGCACATTCTTAGAAAGAAACCAACAAACACTGTATAAAGCATTCTTATTGCACCTGTCATAACCTTAAACCGTTTTCTGCTCTCTACACTAAGAAGAGCTGGACAGGGCAGAAAATCAGTTGTGGCTCTCCACTCTGCAACAATTCAGTTTATGAGCTAAAGAAATTGAACTCACTACTGTGCAGAACCCACAACAGGACACTCATTTCAATTAGATTCGTGCTGCTACCCTGGACCTGCATCCATGCTGCAAGGCAACCGCACTCTGCAGCGTGCTGCAGCCCCAGTCCCTACACCACCCAGGCCAGGGGACACAACAGAGTGTACTGGCTTTCTCCCAGTTGCAAAGCAGGCAGGGCAAGGGGTGCATGCTCGCATCTCATCCTCTTACCCACAGGACCCAGCCCAGCTGCAGAGCAGGCTCACAAGCTGGGAACAACGCCCAGATCCCTGTGGTTCAGGCACAGCTGATCTCAGGCCATGTCTTCCTCCCAGCACTGCAGGTTGTACAGAAGCAGAATCAGTTAATGCTATGCTAGAATTAAGGTCTCTAGTTAGCCCTGAAGAACTGAAGGCCAGGTGAAATCCCAGACATACTATCAACTTCAGAGGTTAACACTGCAAAGTCCTCACTTTAGAAATAGGTATACTTTGACATCAGGCATGCAGCTTTTCCCTCTTCAGCTTAATTCTTTTCATCTGCAACAGATGATATAGATTGTGCCACCATCTTTTAGGGATAAGATGAGGCATTTACTCAGATTTCTGAAAGAAGCTTCTCTCAGAAAAGAACATTTGAGAAAAGAAAAAAACCACTTTACTACGCATCTAAACCTAAATAGTTAAACTTCATCTACATTTAGCCCTTTCCCCATTTCCAAGAGTAACTCAACTTCTAAGTGTGATTCAACAAGCACAGGGACTTTTAGAATTGATTTTACATTATCAAACTTCTTGAAAAGGTAGACTGTGTTGAAAAGCTGGACAGCTCTGGGCTGCAAGTGGGCTCTGGTAGTTTTGGTCCTTCGTTTCATGAAGAGGACGGTCTTTGTAAGTATGAGGGGGAAAGAGCAGTTATTTGAGCATCTAACTATTTGGTGTAGCTAGTCACTAGTACCACATATAATCCAGTCAGCCACCACCATTTTGTCAGTTCAATCTTTTACATCCAGATTTCCATAAATGAAGTTAATAGTCTTAGTTAAAATAAACTAGTAACATTGCCAGTAAGTTTGTAGAATGTTCTCAACAGCGATAAAGAATATTGTAAGAAGGAAAAAGCAGCAGAGCCAAGCCTAAGCCAACAAGTACTCTTACAAAATAGCACAAACTACTGGATCAGATTGCTACTAGAATGTTCTTGAATCTGTTTTCAAGACCATCTGGATAGGTAACTCCCACATCACAGCTGGGAGGGAAACTAAGGAAAACTAAGGAAACTTCTCCAGCCATAGAAGCATCTAGTGAGAAAGACCAGCAGTGTTGCTTGTGAACTGCAGTTCAGGCATCAGCCACCTGCATTTCACCAGTGGTCATAGAAGCACAATGCTACAGCTTCCCCTTCCTTTAATATTCAGAGAAGTGGCCTATGACCACATCTTATAGCAGGCTTTTATGACTTCATGTTCCTAATTGTATTTGTAGTGCAGAGCTACTTTAACCTAGGACTGAAGTTATATATTACAGGTTATATCAACGTTCCTTTCTCTGTAGAATGGTATAATTTTCACTTCCTAGTTGAAGCTAGATCAATGCTTCTCATGCCAAGTGGAATGGTACTTTTCCCAAACATACTGAAGCCACAGAGCTGTTGACTGCCTACCATGAATGGGGTTCCAGCTTTGGCTCCACAACACAGGAACAGCCTTCAATACCTTTGTATGTTCTTTAACACTTGAACAGTGATTGCCAGCATCTAAGGATATTTAGTGCTGGCTGTTAGTAACATAAGACTATGCTGCAGAAGAGCATCACAGCAAGGCTGAAACACCAGTTCACTTAGTATAGTCAAGTTCCTGCTTCTCAGAAAGCCTGAGATAACCCACAGTCAAGGTCAAGAGTGACAAAACATTCGAAGTGCATTTTCACTTTTATTTCAAAACTTTAGACAAGTTACTTTAGTATATAAATTTGATTTTTTTTTCCCCTCTTACAGAATATAAAGATAATTCCCTCATTACTTCGGTATAAAGTGTTTTACAAGCTTGAAGACAATTGCATAAGTGTTTCTCACACAGGGTATCAGAGAGAAAGCAGTCTTTCTACAGAAGTTCAGACAGATGACTACCTCAGAAACAGCATAGCAGTTTAGTCAAATACAAGTGAACACGTGACACTACAACTGTGCAAGTTCAAGTAAGGCCAAGTCAGTAAACATTGTTAAGTCATTGCAAATAAGAGTGGAAAAGTTTGTGAGACATTGCAAGGGGTGGATGGTCTCAGTGTAATACTCTTAAATCAAGGAGTCAGAGAGATTTAGCTAGAAGACAAGTGAGTTCTTTAATGCTATAAAGCATATGCAAAGACCAAGCAGTGTACTGATGTTAGTGGAGACTTCGTGCCTGTTTATCCTCAGCATGCTAAGACAAACTACAACCTCTTAAAACCAAGCATAAGAACCACTAATGTTTGAGAAAAGATGTTTTCAGAACTCAAGTATGTCTTATTTTGGATGGTGTGTAGTTTTTGTCTATTACTTCATCTTGCAAGAACATGTGAAGACAGCGCTCATTCTGTGCCAGTGGGTGGCCCGCAACCCTGGAGAAGAAAACACAAGCATTAGTGCTAACAAATCAAGTCTATCTCCAGTTCGCCAGCAGAGCAAGGTTTTGTACCAATAACCTATGCTTCTGCACTTAGGCATAGATCCCACTTCCAGTTCACTGTTGATGGCTAGGATGATGTCTGGCAGAAATATCTGTCATGCTTCCCCACATGACGTTAGTCCATAGGAACCTTGAGCTACCTCTGATCATTTAGAAGCATGTTATGTCATCATCTGTCATCTGCAATTGAGGGCACTATCAAAGTGCTTATCCTAGCATTAGAAAATCTAGAGTTAACCAAGCCAAGCAGATTTTAACAGGTCTTGATGCCTTTGACACAGGACACCTTTCTAAAGGCAGCTTAACCCCTCAGTTCTCAGTCTATTCCATAGCAGTTAGCCCAGGCAGAGTTAAAGACTTACTCCACCAGGGGGTGTGTGAAGGTCTTCTGAAGGCTCTGACACTGTTTAGAGCAGTGACTTACCACGGTCACTATTCCTACCACATACAAGCAGCACTGATGCACAGCCAGAGGATACAGGCCATTCTATTAATTGCAGATGTCTTTAGATATGAAACACAGGAGACTGAGCTTGTCTGCTCTAGAAGAGACAAGCACTTCTACTGTAGATTTAGTTCTGTTCCACATATAGACTGAGCCACCATCTTTTTAACAGTAAAAGAGATAAAGTTGAATGAGAAGACACTCCTAAGTCTGGAAGAAAACCACGAGGTATTGCATTTAAACCCTTAAATAACATGCAGCCTTCTGTGTAGGTAAAAATCCAAGAGAATCAGAATCCCTAGAAGCTGATCACTTACAGATATGAAAACAAAGCAGTTTGGTTTGAAAAAAGTTACGTTCAGTTTGGTTAAGACAGGCTCCTTCCTTTAAGAGAGAACGCCCCCCCCCCCCCCCCTCCTCCTGAGGACAGCTTGTGTCAGCCTTATGGCCTCCATATCTGTCAAAACATTTCTACTCTAAATGGAAATTATCTAGTTGAGCACATGCAATGCATAGTCAACTCTAGTGGCTCAGCATCAGTATTTCCAAGCACTTTTGTGCATCTTCTCCAAGTGTATCTATTAGTGCTTATGTCACTGCAGGACAGATGCACTTGTCACTGCTCTTGTCACTGAAGGTGTCCTTTAATGAAGAAGCTGAGCTCTCCTATTCAGCATTGATAGATTATTTAAAGTGCCATCATAAAACCTATTGATCTTGCCAGGTTCTAGTAAATGGGCAGCAGTCTCAAGCACTAGCTCACAAGGAAGATGGTCTGGAATAACTAGTTTCTTACTCCCATCAGACTGAAGTTGCTAGCCTTGAACTTCAAGGGAAAGATACCCAGGAGAAGCTAACGAGGCAGCAGCCATATCCTTTCTCCCTTTCAGGAAGGCTTGCAAATTGGTGGCTGAATTGCAAGGCTAGGTTTGACCTTGCAGATTCAGCTCTTCGTTTCACCTGGATACCTCACTCTGCACTGGCTTTTCCTCAGTATTCTTCTCTAAGGTGACCCTTGCATAGAGCAGCTGCTACTTCAAAAATTTTCATGTATCCCAAAGTCATGTTGCAACACTCATCTGCTTGAACCTAGCTACCCCTGTGAATGTCAAAGTAAATAGTATTGATAGTGGTGCCAGCAAGCTGGCCCAAGAGAGCTGACTCAGGTAAGCTGTACTGCAGTGATTTAGTCCCTCTCAATTTTACACCTAGAGGGACAAAGCTTCTCACCATTCTGGATATCAAGAATTGGCATTGGTACATCAAGCTCTTTTTTGGATCCAGCGATACCCGTTATCTGATGGACTCTAGTTCTAGGAATGAAGACCAGCTTTGAGAATGCAGTAATGGGACCATATTATGCAAATTAACTTCAGGACTAATTTCACTAGTACCCAGAGTACTTGGTAGAAGTCTTAAAGCTTCTACATGGTTCAAAACTTTCATTACTAATACTTGCTTGATGAGTTGGTCATGCCATTAGAATAAATTGATGAGGTTGAATAGCTAGGAGTTCTGCCTGAAGAATCTTGTTCCAGCTGTAATCAAGTCTGCCACTACATCAGTATCTACATTAATAGCCTGCTTTTATGTTTCAAAGGAGGAAAAATTGACCAAGAAGTTTTACACTTCCACAAGATCAATGTATTACTTGTTGTAGGACCGAACAAGTGATCCCAATAAACTGGCCACTCCATTTCTGTCAGCTATATTGAGTTTTTCAGAGATTCCAGTTAAGACGACTGTTTCACTATCAGCTGCTTCAGAACATAAACAGCCCTCTTCCCCCACATATTGCTAGATTCAGCATACAAAACTTTCAGTAAGTGCAATTCCTCCACATTTAATGTAATGTAGAGTCCCAAGCCTGCATGGATAAAAGTTGTACTCTACAGTCATCACTGTCTGTATTGTAAAGCCTTAAAAAAATTAAAACACATTCCATTTTACTATAAGCACATCTGCCTTCCTGCAATGTAAATGCAAAACTAGATGCCTTGGAAATTCATTCTACTTGTCTTTGAACAGAGGAAAGAGCATTCTGGAGCTTTTTACCTGCTTAGAATGATTAGTAATACCTTTGAACTGAGCTAACAAGCAACTATGCAAAGAAAAACAAGATATTTCATACGGTCACACTTAGCTTACTTGCACAAGACAGTTTTAGTGAACTAGTCACTTGCCACTCCAAGCCACATGCCTGAACTAACAATAAGTGATGAGCAGATGAAATTCTGGCTTAACTCAGACACCCTCTATCCCTGTTAAACAGCATTACTGTTGAAAAAGAATAAAGTGCTCATGGAACTGACAAGCTTGAACTTTTAAAGGGAGCAGTCCCAAATCCAGTTGGTCTGAACAATGTTGGCTCTAGAAACCAGAAGAGCTGGTTAACTGACAGGATTCCTTCATACCCACTGTTAAACAGATTAAAGAAGCTCATCTGGTCACTATATGGAGAGCGGTTAGTAGTGTCAGATGATAGAAAAAAAAAATCATAATACTTTGTTACTATAATTTCTGCTCACCCTTTGAAAGGCAGTGACAAAACCCAAAGTGTCTATTTCAAACTATATATGTGCATACCTCAGGTAGTGTTTTTACATTTCAGGAAGATTCTTTTGATGATTAAAGAAAATATGCATCATTACACAAACTGATAATACCTCACATCTGCAATCAAAGTAAACTGCTGTAAGCCCATTGTAAGCTCCATTGTTCACCCAATGGAGGATACCTTTTCAGAAATGAAAAAGTAGAACTATTTTGAATGCTATAATTTTAGTAGTAATTTGCATAAATTAACAACACTACTAACATTAATTTCAGCTGTTCAGGTAAACATTAAGATATCCAAACTAAACACTGGATGAGCAATGGTAGTATGTCCTACTGCGAGACTACATATAAGTTGTTACTCTGAACCTAGTGCAGCTACCATAGTTAGAGGATTAGCAGCTTTAATTCAATTTTCTGGAGCAGAGTTCTGGGTTTGACTCCAGATAACTAGACCCAACACTTACTTGTTTATGAATTGTTCAAGAGCCTGCTTCCTTTCCTCTATAAAGGAATCATCAAATATGCCATCATCTCCTCGGAAGGGGAGCTGACGAAGAAGAGCTTTTCCTGGTAGAGGTGGTACCACAACCTGAAAGATTCAGGAAAAAAAAAGTGTCCTTAAGTGCAGCCTGTAAGTTTATACACCTCCTGTGACATCTCTTCCTCCTAAAGGACTCAACTCAATCACATGCCTAGTGAAATGATAAAACATGACCAGAGAAAAACAGTATCTGCTATAGAGGCAAGTTGAATTCACATAGTTCAACTCTGAACTAACTCAAAACCATTAAACAGTCTGCAACATTGTACAGCTGAGGTTTGCTGAAAGACAGTGCTTTAGTTCTGGACGTTTTCAGCCACAATATCTGCTCTATATGCTTTATAACATGGTAACATTTCAGCATCGCTACTACTTGTATGTCTATGAAGACTTGTATTTACCTTTCATTTTACCCACCTTGCTTTCTCTTTCTAGTTCATTCCTTAGCCATTCAAAGTCACTGTATCTTCTTCTGACTGTAGATTCTTTCAATTTGAAGATAGGTAGATTTGTCTGAAAACAAGAACGTAAGCTATTGATTAGAAAAATCACAAGTTTGATAAGCAGAAGCAAGAAACAAGTTGTTACATTAAAAATTATTTCCATTTCAGCAACAGCATTGAGAAACACTCAAGATACAGAGCTTTATCTGTATTTCTGTAAGCTACATGAGTAAGCTGTGCCTCAAACTGCTTAACTGCGGGTCTCATTTATATGGCATTCTAATCACTGGTATTTTGCCACCATATCACCTAGCAGAATAGCATATTTGCTGGTCACTTGAGGAGATGTTCCTAAGGTTGTGCAAGCATCTTCTATTCTTACTGTCTCAGGAGCTGGATTCCCAATGCCAATATCTGTACAAAATTGGCAGGGGAAGAAGAAGGGGAAGAAAGTCCAGATGCAACACAACATTCAGTGCTGATGGGATCAGAGTGTTTTTCTACAAACCAGTCAAACCAAGAAGAGCTTGATGAGGCAGAACTTTCCTAAGCAAGGCTAGGAGTCGGCACCCAACTCTTGACACCTTTGAAAGAGGCATCAAATAGGAGCTGGGCTATAATGCTGCACAAGACCATGTTAAATACATGAGCACTTTGATAGGTCTCCTTACACTAATTTGTGTAAGAGTCTGTATTACTTCTATTCATTCTTGGGGTGCAGGGTTATCCCATTGTTGTAATCCAACTTGCATGTTACTTTAAGAGTAGACATTGAGAGAGGTCTCTCTAATGACATCCCCAGAATGGAAAGCTCCAAGATCACAATTTGAAGCTTAAATGTCATTGAGAGGGCAAACTGGCTAGTGTTAAAAGTGTGTTTGTCGGAGTTAAGACCTACTAAAAGCAAGACCAAGAGTCTGTAATTGCCATACATAACCAGCACTAACAGAACAAAGCTTACTGTTGTCAGACTGTGTATTCACCGTCTTAGACATCTTGAAAGATGACTCTTGAAAAGTACCCTAGGAAGCTGATGTTCACATGGGACTAGTTATCCCCAGTTTTCCTGTTGGCAGAAGCACAGCAGTCATTCTCAACTAGTGCATTCTGTTTTTTATTGGCTTAATTTAAGTTGTAAGCTATCTCACTCAGCTTCTGGTCCCAGTTTGAGTACGGTATCATTTGTAGGCTGTTATGCTTAACCTATCATTGAGCAATACTTCTGGCTGCTCAGACCAGATTTAATTGCAGAGATACTTTCCTGCACTAGGCAGGGCTCTGACTACAGGCCATTGTATTACTGCCAGCCAATAACGAGGTTTTGGCTGTCACCGTTCAAAAATACTTGAGAAGTTGGTTGTGTACTTTCATATTATGCTATTTAGGCCATAATTTACAGACAATAAAGTACAGAATAGTATATTGTTATGAAATCTCCTACTGCTAAATGTTTAAAAGTACTCAAGCTCTACTTCCCAGGTAAGACTTGTTGATTGTACTAGTGACTAATAATAAAATTGCACTTAAGACTATTATGTCAGAAGTCAGGCTTTATAAATAAACACTCTCATCTTGAGGCTAAGAATACTCTACTCAAGAGTGAATAAAGCTAGGATCCCCAGATTGCATGACAGAGATTCCCAGAAGTGAAGTACTGGATTATTTTTCTCTGATTTCAGCTATTGGCTTTTTAACCAAGTTCAGCCTTCCACATTACAACATCAACTCTTTGTCAGTGTCTCTGGTAGAAAGTCTATTACAATATTTAACATATAGGCTCTCACCTGCAGAAAATATTCCATTCTTCTCTCAAGTTACTTACAAGAGGGATTAGAACTGAATAAAAGCAGCTAAAACAATGAGTTCCCAGGTCTTCAGGAACTCTTTTCATGCTTCTGGGCATGAAGTCTATAAAGTTAATCCCCAAACAACATATCAGGCTTACAGGTACAATGTGGGGGTAGAAGTGCCAACTGAGCTCATTTTACCTTCTACATTCCCTTTTCAACTTTTGACACGCTAGCCCAGCTAGCAAGTTGGAGGAAATGACAGTTAGAGTACTTGTTTTCCCTTCAAGTTGAAAAATCTTCTCCGATTTTCATCATAAGCACTGGAAGTGTTCAAACTAAAGTATATGCTAGAAGGCTCTCATTAACTTAAGTGGCTTACGAGTCACACTACATGCTAAAGGAAAGTGTCTCCCTGTCCTTGGGTCTGGATATGAATTAGAGCTATCTGTTGACATCAAATTCTAAGCCTCATGTTCCTTAAAACCCAGAAACTGCAGCAATTCTCCTTCCTTCAGAAATTAGTACTGATAGAGCCACATTCTTCAGGTATGCAGCTGCTAGAAAGGATCCATTTAAAAAAACCACAACGGTTTGAGTCCTCTTTTATACTGCTTAACCCATTTACATATTAGGTCCCTATTTTAATTCAGCATATATTCACACCTGAAGTTACTGTATGTGCCTT